CAAAAACACTCGGAAAATGACAAAATGGACCGGACGACACTAAAGCGAACCTAAAAATGACTCGATAATACATATAAACACATAAAAATACGCACAAAAACATAACAAACACGGTCTCTTAGTTGTTCTAATCAATTAATTAATCCACTCCACTTGGCTAACCCAGTTCCTTTTGTACAAAGTAAGTTAACAGAATTAGCTAGCTTTCAGTTGTTCAAACGAATTAGTTAATCCACTCCTCTCGCCTAACCCAACTCGCATTCTACGAAGTTAGTTATCAACGAAATTTATTCAACTCTTAGCTACTTAAACTAATTAATTATCCACCCCACCCACTTAACCATTATGTACAAAAGTTATTTATTAACTAGAATTAGTTAGTTCTCAATTGTTCAAACTAATTAATTAATTAATCCATTTCACTCACCTGACCTAGCTCGCGTTGTACGAAGTTAGTTACCAATGAGAACTTAGTCAGCTATCAGTTGTTCAAACTAATTAAATAATCCACTCCACTCACCTAACCCAGCTCAGGTTATACGAAGTTAGTTATCAACGAGAATTAGTTAGCTCTCAGTTATTCAAACTAATCAAATAATCCATACAACTCATTTAACCATCGTGATACTTAGCACATTGTGGGAAAGCATCTATATTAATTCGATAAAGACATGCATATCAGAAAATTAGGGGGATTGTACTTATTTATTGCTCAAAGTAAACCCGAGGTGTTATGAAGAGTCACGTATAAACATTTGACAAAAGCTTTATGGCATGATTGGTATAATGGAATGAAATTTGATAGGAATGGAATGAATATGGGAAAGGAACAAAACCAAATTTTTCCATTGATATGTTTGGTATGCAAAAAGAATAAGACTTGTGATATAGCCAGATTATGATACACCGGCCTAAGTATCAAACGCTCGACCGAATGACTAGTCGAGTTGTCTACGTGTCGAGTGGAACAACGCATTGGAACAGGGAAAGTCGATTTTCCATACCACAATAGTAGGGGAAGTCGACATCCTTAGGTCGACTTCCTATATCACCAAAGTAAGGGAAGTCGACATATTCAAGACGACTTCCGTTAAGAAAATGAACATACAACAGACTCTCGATAGATCCCCATGCGAACTCCAAGTCGAACTTTGGCTACTCAAGGTCGACTTCCCACGCCTCGAG